CTTTTCCTCCCACTTTAATGTGAGGAGCTATATTGCTGGTCTACCCACTCTCTTCTCAGCTTCATATGCTCCTTATCTGAGAGATGCGTTTCCTGTAGCATTGCTATGGTACATTTAAGTTTTTTCAAATGATTCAGCACTTTTTTCCTTTTAATTGGACTACCTAAGCGGCCTTTAACATTATAAGCAGTGTTGGGGGAAATTACTTTGAAAAGTAATGCGTTACAATATTGCATTACTCCCTTAAAAAGTAACTTATTGCGTTACTTAGTTACTTTTTTAGAAAAGTAATGTGTTACGTTACTTTTGCGTTACTTTTTTTCCACCTGGGCTGGGCTTGTTTTTTTGTACCAAAAAAGATAAATTTTTGGCCAAATGTAAAGACCCTTTCACACCAAAAGTGAAATAATAAGCCTCAGACTGAAGGAAATGCAGATTTACTCCTGTACAGTTGAGTACAGTAGTGTTCAGTAGAGGGCGCCGCTCAAACAAACCTTTCAGCTGCTGCTGTTCTGGGTAACAGAAGAAGAGGATGCAGGAGAAACAAATGTAACACTTACTTTACCAATAAAAACATATAAAAAAATCTATAGTCATTTTTGCTTATTGTTTAACTGAGGTCAGAAGCAAGTACTTTGGTCAATAAAGATTAAATGCATAAAAATTTATGTTTTATTTAACATATTTAGGTATTGGAGGTTTGCATAATGTTCTGATTCTGCATTTCACTGATTTTATTCATTTTGAGGAATATTGAATCTTTTTTGTGCAAGTGTAAATCCACGCTTACATTTAATCTAGAACTATAATAATAACCATCATGTTTACACACAACGCCTCTGCACTTCGATTTGTCTCAACATTAGGACAGAAGAGCAGTCTGTCAATAAAGGGGAAAACAAAGTAACTTGCGTTACTTATTAGAAAAAGTAACTCAGATATTAGTAACCCGACTGGATCAAATGTAAATCTTTTGACTAGTTCTCGAACCTGAATGACCCAGTCCCCGGTGAAACTTGGATGGAGGTTGGTGACTGGTCCTCCGCGGGGAAAAAACACGCCGTGTGCGGCATCGCTGTCGCTCCCAGAGCGTTTCGTTTGCGACTTTGATGTGGATAGGTGGTCCTCCACTTAGTGGATCTCGCGTCTCGTCCATATTGGAAATCTTCACTTTTCTTCTCCTAACTATACTGGTTTAGTTAGATAGCTGAACTCGGCGAAGGTATAAACTAGTTATCGGCGTTGAAAAAGGCTTTAATTTCGGCGTAGGCGAGTGTCGCAGGACCTCCGTTGACTCTCCTTCCCGCTGTATTCCACCCGTCTCGGTACAGCTCCGTCTCCAGTGGCTCCCTCTCATCTACTCGGGCGTGCACCCCCAACTCCTCAAGTACCAGCACCGCGTCTGTCAATGTCGGGTAGGTCTTCACGCCATCCTCCATAAAATCTCTCAGCTGTGCAGGGAAAACACACTTTGCCCTAATGTTCTTCACCTTTAGCTGCTTTACTGCCTCACGCACCAGCGCCCTTTTCTTCTGCAAATCGGGAGAGAAGTCGTGATCAAAGTAGATCTGTTTTCCTTCGTGCATGACTTTTTTTCTGCTCCCAGGCCTGTCTTAGAATGCTTTATTTTACTGAGAAGTCCAAAATCCTAACTACAAGCGAACGAGGGGCTGCTTCAGGGTTCTTGGGCTTGGCAGTGAGCGCTCTGTGTGCCCTTTCAATGACGATGTTAAGTTCGGGAGGAAGTCGAAGAACAGATTTAAGCAAATCGTGTACAAAAAGTTTAACATCTCTTCCCTCGCTCCCTTCAGCCACTTTATAAATTCTCAGATTGTTTCGCCTTAGACGATTTTGCATATCTTCACATCGTGCATTCAAATCCATTTCTCGGTGCAGTAAGTAACGAAGGGCCCGCTCATGACGCCTAGTCGTGTCTTCATTTGCACTAATACGGTCCTCCGCCTCTGTGGTTCTCTTTTGCAGCTCAGTAAGTTCTCCTTTCAGTTCAGCGAAGGACGTTTCCAGCCGTGTTAAAGATAGTTGGGTCTGAGTGTGCCCATCTTGGTTGTCTTTCCTCATTTTTTCGAGCTCAGCCAGTATTTTTGACTCGGAGTCACGCATACTAGAATCTGATTGCACACTCTGCGCTTGTAGCAGAGTTAGCTGCTTTAAGTTTTTGCCTTTTTCCTTAGCTGAGTCCTGTTTAGATTGTCCTCTGCCTCTAGTTGTCAACATGTCGAATTTGTTAAGAATCGCCGAGTTTTATGCTGGTTTTGTTAGGAAATTACTAAAATTTTAGACGGAGCGAGTCTCTCAGGCTGCTGTCAACCAGAAGTCTGAAAAATCAGAGTTTATTAACGTTTTTTCTCTAAATTTAAAGAGTTTTTTTTCTCAAAACAATGACTTTATTGATAAAGTTTGAGTTTATTCTAAACTTTTTATTTGTACTTTTTTCTCGAAATTTAAAGTTTTTTTCTCGAAACAATGACTTTATTGACAAGGTTTGAGTTTATTCTCAACTTTTTATTTTTACTTTTTTCTCGAAACAACATTTTTCTTAAAATTTAATGTTTATTCTCAAAATTTCTCAAAATTGTTGGACGAGTTTTTTCTCAGAAACACAACGACTTTATTGACAAAGTTTGAGTTTATTCTCAACTTTTTATTTTGGCCTTTTTCCTCGAAAATTGACGATTTTCTTTCTCGAAACACAATGACTATTGACAAAGTTTAATGAGTTTATTCTCAACTTTTTATTTTTACTTTTTCCTCGAAATTTGACGATTTTTCTCTCGAAACACAACGATCTTTATTGACAAAGTTTAATGAGTTTATTCTCAACATTTTATTTTTGACCTTTTTTTTCTCTAAATTTAACGGCTTTATTCTCAAAATTTAATTCATTATCAACATTTTATTTTGACTTTTTTTTTCTCAAAACACAACGACTATTGACACAAGTATGAGTTTCTCAACTTTTTATTTCAACTGTCTTTTTCTCAAAATTTAAAAAGTTCAATCCTGCATTATAGTTAAGTCAAGTCACCTTTATTTATATAGCGCTTATTACAATACGGATTGTTTCAAAGCAGCTTCACAGTGATAACATGAAAATAATACAACAAAGTTTGTTTCTAGAAGAAAACTGCATCAACGTCCACCTTAAGTAAGGCAGATCAATAATATTGTTGAATATTAAATGCATTTAAGCAAGTAAGCAAGCCAAAAGCCAAGGCAACAGTGGCAAGGAATCAAAACTCCATCAGTGAAAGAATGGAGAAATAAACCTTGGGAGAACCCAGACTCAGTCGCTCAGTGAACAATGTGTGATTATGATCCAGGCAGCATTACAGGTCAGAGGTCAGATTGGATCAGAACATTCAGAATATTAGTCCAGTTCCGTCTGGTGGAAGATTGGAGTCATCACGCCGATTACAATGATTTTAATCTCGAGATAGTTTTTTTTTATTATTATTATTGCTTGGACCGAATCCTCTTCAGTAATTAACAGATGTTGTAAACTAAAGCATTAATGTCAACAAATGAGACCTTATTGTAAAGTGTTACTGAAATATTATTAATAAGTCTCCAGTTTGAGTGTTTTCTAGAGTAATTTAGTATTGAACGGTATTTTGTGAAGGTCTGTATGGAGACACACGTGTAGATATCGTACAAGTTGATTGTGTCTTTTGCGTAGATGAAGTTGAGGATTATGAATGAAAATATAAATAACTATACTTTTCATTTAAATAAATTTATTCAAATACTCCGTTGGTGTAGCAGTCAAACAAACGTTATTCATGCGATTTTTATTCAGTGCTGTAAAAATAAATATTTCAAACATTTTATGTCATTCTGAGCACCAGCGTATGAACACACACACACGCTCACACACACACTGTAACTTTAATTGCTGCTCAATTCAAATAAAATGACATGTTTTTAAACAAATCTGTAATATTCATTTAGCTGGTCACATCTCACCTTCACTATCGTGAAAAAACACTAAATGAATATAATAAAAGTCAAAGGTGACACGTTACAAAAAGGTCTCTAGTTAATGCATTAAACAAACAAGGAATATTTATTATTTCACATTTGCATTTATTAACCATTGTTTATGTTAGTTAATCAATGTTCATGTTCGTTCATAGAGCTTTAATGTTAACAGATGTTGATCATAGAAATGTTAATAAATACAGTGAAAGTATTGCTTGTTTCATGTTAACTAATGAAACCTGATCGTAAAGTGTTATCAGGCCACATTACACCAAACAAAAACTGGTTCTTGGAATGTCGGGAATATTAATTTTAAACATGAAAAACAAGTAAACATTCAGTCTTTCAGGAGCTGCACAGAAATTCTGGGTAATGTCTGAGGTAGAAGCTGAAGTTCATTAGAAACATTTCTCAACCCATAATAAAACATCTTCATGTGATAAAAGTGACACATACCAATGAAAACAGAGTTTATCTTCATTCATTTGAATCTTAATCACTGATGTGAACCGATTCTATACGATTTCTGTACAGGTCACATGACCAAAAAAAAAAAAAACCACACGGTTAAAATAAATTATATTCTACATAATTAAAACTAGGAACATGGAGATTCTCTGCATCGTGACATTATTTTTTAAATGACAATTTAATACATTTTATGCAAATTATGAAATGGATTTTCTTTTTTTACAAATATTAAAAATGTAATGTTATATATATATATATATATATATATATATATTTCACAAATATTAATTATGAAAAAAAGTTACATAAATGTAAAAAAATATATTTTTTAAATTTGAATATTTTTTGTACTTTATGCCCAATTAAATGATTTATTAAATCATTTACACTGTAATATCGTACAGTACAAAATGTGTCGTGAAAAAAAAAAAAAAACAAATTGGCGTGAAAAATAAAAACGCAAAAAATTGTAGTAAAAAAAAAAATATTGTAGCAAAAATGGAAAAAATTGTTGTGAAAAAAAAATTCTAACCTTTACCGACCTTTGACCCGAGCATGTTTTAGTGGCGACCTTTGACCCGGGCATGTTTTAGTGGCGACCTTTGTCCCGGGCATGTTTTAGTGGCGACCTTTGACGCGGGCATGTTTTAGTGGCGACCTTTGACCCGGGCATATGTTTTAGTGGTGACCTTTGACCCGGGCATGTTTAGAGCCATGGACCCGAGTGTTCCGCTAAACCCGCTGGCGTCAGTGGTCCCAGCGCAGCGAGCTCTGCAGCGAGCGCATGTCCTTCAGTAGACTCAGACTCTCTCTGATCCGCTCGCCGGGTCTCACCCGCACCGACACCGATCCTCCACCGGGGGTCTGTTTACCACTGCGCTTCCTCAGCCGCTCCATCTGACACACACACAATCATCTCAACATCAAACCTACAACATTTAAGAACAGATGGATGGGTGGGTGGGTGGATGATGGGTGGATGTGTGGATATTGATGGGTGGATGATGGGTGGATGGGTGGATGGGTGGGGGGATGGATTGGTGGGTATCTATGGCTATTTTCATGGCAAAAATTAAATTACAAAAATAGAAATATTATTGAGATAACCTGAGCTTGATGGCGCCTGACTTGAGCGATCTGCTCTCCTTTATTCTCCATTCTCTTCACGAGCGTCTCCATCTCTCGCTCCATGTTCTGCCGGAGTCGATCCGAAGCGCAGGACTGGATCTGTGTGCACAACTCCTGCTGCTCGCTGACACACACACACACACACACACACACACACACACACACACACACACACACACACACACACACACACACACACACATCATCACGCTGTCGTCTTCTCATGAGCATAGCCTTCACGAGGTCGAGATTAACTGCTCTTTTGATACTTTAATGTCTCTGTTAGAGCTTGACTGATCGTGGTCACCAGCTCTTTAACTATGAACCAATTGATTCACAAAGTGATTCGCTCGTTCGAAGCGCTGAATGAACTCAAGCTGGAAACACACAATAAAACAATACAGCAGTTCAGGGATGTTCGGAGTAATCCCGTGCACCATGACTTCGAGCCGAACGCCCCCAGAGCCTTTCCCCTCGGTCCAACACTATTAGAGTTAGGGCTTGTTCAGAGAGAGCCCAGCGGCTCAGTGCAGGCGCTGACGGGTCCAGTAATGGTTCCACTCTTCTACAGCAGTGCACCGGTTCTGTGCTCGTAGAATGAGGCATTGGAGAGTTTGTAAGTACATCGGGACTTTATTTACTCCGAAACATCCCTTTAAGAACGGCATATGTGTGAGTGAAAAATGACAGAAAAAATACTATATAGTATTTATTAATATATACATTTTGTTGTGTTTTTGTCAGTTTATTAATTATTATAGTATTTATAAATATTATGAATTAAATTTTATTGTTATATTTTCCATTTAAATTTTTGTTGTTTTGTGTTTTTGTCTGTTTATAAATGTTTTGTTGTTTATTTGTTTGAAACCAAATATGATTTTTTAAATTTTATTAGTTTAGCTATTTATTTAATTCTAAATAACCAGTGTAAATTTTTAATTTTTTATTCCAGTCTTAGTAATTTCAGTACTTTCAGGCTAAACTAAACGAAAATTTGAAATGTTGTCTTGTCAACTAACTGGAAATAAGATTCTTTTTATATTTTATATAATTTGAATTAGATTTACTTTTAGTTAACGATAATAACACTAGTCCAAAGTTCATTAGTTTTTATTTGTTTGTTTGAACCTAATATGTTTATTCAGTTTTAATTTAGTTATTTGATACTACATTTTTTATTAAAATTATTTCAGTTTTAGTTCAACTAAAAGACAATTAAAAAAATTTCTAAAAAATAAACAGTTTTTCAGTTAACATTTATTTTATTTCAATGTAATATTTGTATTGTTATTTTAATGACCATAATCCTCACCAGCTCATGAGTCTGAACTCGTCCTGAAGCGCCAGCAGCAGCTCCGACAGCTCTTCCCTGCAGGAGGCGGAGCCAGTGGGGGAGGGGGCGGGGCCACTGGAGGAGGGGGCGTGTCCCAGCACACGCTCGTTACACAGCTGAGGATGATGATGCTTCATGAGATGAAGGACCCGCTGCACGTTCGCTCGCACCGAGTGACTCGAGCTCGTCGACTGAACAGAGACGCGGATTAAACATCAATCATTACTAACTTCAGAAATAACTTCAATAAATAAAATAACTTCAAACTGTGTCAGAAATTATCATTAAAAACTCATAAGTGACACTCTCTCTCTCTCACACACACACACATTCTCTCTCTCTCTCTCACACACACACTCTCTCTCACACACACACACTCTATCTCTCTCTCTCTCTCTCCCTCACACACACACTCTCTCTCACACTCACACACTCTCTCACACACACTCTCTCTCTCTCTCTATCTCTCTCTCTCTCTCTCACACACACACTCTCTCTCACACTCACACACTCTCTCACACACACTCTCTCTCTCTCTCTCTATCTCTCTCTCACACACACTCTCTCACTCTCACTCTCACTCTCACTCTCACTCTCACTCTCTCTCTCTCTCTCTCTCTCTCACTATTAAACTGAAAAGCGAGAGAGTGTGTGTTTACCGTCCCGGTCACGAACGGCACGTCTCCCAGACTGAGTCTGTAATGCGGCTGCGGGACGGACGGCTCTCTCTGCAGAAACACACACACACACACACACACATTATACATCATCAAACCGCTCTGTAATAACCTTCGGAACATGGATAGGAATAACACTGTAAAGCTGGAGGAAAGCACGGCTTTAACTTCAGTTACGTCTCTGATTAGTCAGGATGACAGTGTTGCAATGTCGCTTGGACTTCATCAGCTCTGAGTGTTTGTTGTAACAGGAGAGAATCTGATCCTGCACTCGTTTACCGTTGAGGAGCTTTTCTTCTGTTTGATCCGGCTCGGTTTATGAGGACGAGGAGAAACAGACTGAATGAGCAGACGATTGACTTCAAGACCCGTCTGTAGCTGACAACAGAGAAGAGGACATGATTAACACACACACACCCACACACTGACTCACTCACTGACTCACTCACTCACTGACTGACTCACTGACTCACTCACTGACTCACTCACTGACTCACTCACTGACTCACTCACTGACTCACTCACTGACTCACTCACTGACTCACTCACTGACTCACTCACTCACTGAATCACTCACTCACTGACTCACTCACTCACTGACTCACTCACTCACTGACTCACTCACTCACTGACTCACTCACTCACTGACTCACTCACTCACTGACTCACTCACTCACTGACTCACTCACTCACTGACTCACTCACTCACTGACTCACTCACTCACTGACTCACTCACTCACTGACTCACTCACTCACTCACTCACTCACTGACTCACTGACTCACTCACTGACTCACTCACTCACTGACTCACTCACTGACTCACTCACTGACTCACTCACTGACTCACTCACTGACTCACTCACTGACTGACTCACTCACTGACTCACTCACTGACTCACTCACTGACTCACTCACTGACTCACTCACTGACTCACTCACTGACTCACTCACTCACTGACTCACTCACTGACTCACTCACTGACTCACTCACTCACTGACTCACTCACTGACTCACTCACTGACTCACTCACTGACTCACTCACTGACTCACTCACTGACTCACTCACTGACTCACTCACTGACTCACTCACTGACACACTCACTGACACACTCACTCACTGACTCACTCACTGACTCACTCACTGACTCACTCACTGACTCACTCACTGACTCACTCACTGACTCACTCACTCACTCACTCACTGACTCACTCACTGACTCACTCACTGACTCACTGACTCACTCACTGACTCACTCACTGACTCACTCACTGACTCAAACACTGACTCAAACACTGACTCAAACACTGACTCAAACACTGACTCAAACACTGACTCAAACACTGACTCACTCACTGACTCACTCACTGACTCACTCACTGACTCACTCACTGACTCACTCACTGACTCACTCACTGACTCACTCACTGACTCACTGACTCACTCACTGACTCACTCACTGACTCACTCACTGACTCACTCACTGACTCACTCACTGACTCACTCACTGACTCACTCACTGACTCACTCACTGACTCACTCACTGACTCAAACACTGACTCAAACACTGACTCAAACACTGACTCAAACACTGACTCAAACACTGACTCAAACACTGACTCACACTCACTCACTCAAACACTGACTCACTCACTCACTGAATCACTCACTCACTGACTCACTCAAACACTGACTCAAACACTCACTCACTGACTCACTCACTCACTCAAACACTGACTCACTCACTCACTCACACACTCAGTCACTCACTCACTCACTCACTCACTGACTCACTGACTCACTCACTCACTCACTCACTCACACACACACACTCACTCACTCACACACACCTGAGCTGCTCTCTCCTGCACCAGTTTCCTCTGATGTTCCTCTTCCTGCAGTTTCCTCTCCAGCGTTCGGATCTTCCTCTCAGTGACGCTCTGAGTCTCAGTCAGTCGGTGATACTCCTGTTCCAGAACATCCAGCTTACACAACTGATCCACAGCACACACACGCTCCAGAGACACCTGACACACACACAGGAGGATGAATGAGTCTGTCTCTACACACCTGCTTAAGTGGGACAGGTGAGTGAGTGATTCAGTGAGTGAGTGAGTCAGTGTGTGAGTCAGTGAGTGAGTCAGTGAGTGAGTGAGTGAGTGAGTGAGTGAGTGAGTGAGTCAGTGTGTGAGTCAGTGAGTGAGTCAGTGAGTGAGTGAGTGAGTGAGTGAGTGAGTGAGTGAGTGAGTGAGTGAGTGTGTGAGTCAGTGTGTGAGTCAGTGAGTGAGTGAGTGAGTGAGTGAGTGAGTGAGTCAGTGAGTGAGTCAGTGAGTGAGTGAGTGAGTGAGTGTGTGAGTGAGTGAGTGTGTGAGTGAGTGAGTGAGTGAGTCAGTGAGTGAGTGAGTGAGTGAGTGAGTGAGTGAGTGTGTGAGTGAGTGAGTCAGTGAGTGAGTGAGTGTGTGAGTGTGTGTGTGAGTGTGTGAGTGTGAGTGAGTGAGTCAGTGAGTCAGTGAGTGAGTGAGTGTGTGAGTGAGTGTGTGAGTGTGAGTGAGTGAGTGTGTGAGTGAGTGAGTGAGTCAGTGTGTGAGTCAGTGAGTGAGTCAGTGAGTGAGTGAGTGAGTGAGTGAGTGAGTGAGTGAGTGTGTGAGTGAGTGAGTGAGTGAGTGAGTGTGTGAGTGAGTGAGTGAGTCAGTGAGTGAGTCAGTGAGTGAGTCAGTGAGTGAGTGTGTGAGTGAGTGTGTGAGTGAGTGAGTGAGTGAGTGAGTGAGTGAGTCAGTGAGTGTGTGAGTGAATCAGTGAGTGAGTGAGTGAGTGAGTGAGTGAGTGAGTGTGTGAGTGAATCAGTGAGTGAGTGAGTCATTGAGTGAGTGTGTGAGTGAGTGTGTGAGTGGATCAGTGAGTGAGTGTGTGAGTGAGTGTGTGAGTGAGTGAATCAGTGAGTAAGTGAGTGAGTGAATCAGTGAGTAAGTGAGTGAGTGTGTGTGTGTGTGTGTGTGTGTGTGTGTGTGTGTGTGTGTGTGTGTGTGTGTGTGTGTGAGACTGAGTGTGTCTCACCTGTTGTTGCAGCACAGCGGTTCTGTCTGACTCTGTGTGTCGTACGCTCTTCCTCATGAGCTCCAACTGTCTCTCCAACCGCGAGCATCGGGTCTCGGCCGCAGACAGCTGAGTGCGCAGGTCTACACACACACACACACACACACACTATCATCACTGATCTCCTGAATAATACGAGTCAGACTGGTGTGTGCTTTAGTCGCACCGGTGTCGGGTCTCTCCGGGGAGTGTGTGTGTTCTCGTCGCTCTGAAGAGTGTGTGTGTTCTCGTCGCTCTGAAGAGTGTGTGTGTTCTCGTCGCTCCGGGGAGTGTGTGTGTTCTCGTCGCTCTGAAGAGTGTGTGTGTTCTCGTCGCTCCGGGGAGTGTGTGTGTTCTCGTCGCTCCGGGGAGTGTGTATGTTGTCGTCGCTCTGAAGAGTGTGTGTGTTGTCGTCGCTCCAGCTCCAGGCGACGGATCTTCTCCTGCAGGTTCTTCAGCGCTGAAATAATCGCTGCAAACACACGTACAACACTTCAGACACGTCTACATCTCGTTAAGATGATTCCTCTTCTATAAATCGCTCAGGAAAAGCCCGTGAGTGTCCAGCAGGCGGAGCTGTTCACCAGAACCTGCAGAATCCTCTCAGCATCGCCACAGAAATGGGTTTTACTGTCATTGAGATACATTATAAATTCATATAAATCAATTTATTTATGTATGAAATGATGTAAAAATAAATTAAAAGACTATTACGAACTATGTTTCCATCCAAAGTTGCACAAAACTGGAATATGGAATAAGACATGTGTGAATATGTGTTCATGAGAGCATAATCATCACTATCTGGTGTAAAATATCAGTAGGGTTGGGTACCGAAACTCGGTGCCAATAGGGAACCGGTTCCGACGTAAACGGTAGTAACCAGACCGAATAAGAACGAAAATTTCGGTGCCTGATTTCGGTGCCTAACTTCATTAGGCACACACGCGCACACACACACACACACACACACACACACACAAGGTCTCTCGCTCGCTCTCTCTCCGCCGTGCGTGTGCTACACACAGAGCCGATCCTGGCATCCCTGGGGCCCTAAGCAAAAATCTGTTAAGGGGCCCTCCTACCTGACCCATGTAAACCATTTGCCATTGCCACACAGTCACACCTGACACCCCAGTTCTCCCACTACAATCCTCCCTCGTTTAGTTAGTACTAATGAAAATGTAATTCCTGATATCAGAAATAGACATATTTTATATTAATATCAATAATTCACATTTTAAATAGTACAAATTTAATTATTGATATCAAAAATGCATCCTGTGAATTAATAAAAGCTAAAATGGCTTGCCATTGCATGTCACTGTGTTTTAAATGATAAAAGCAATAATTGATACTTAATGGTTATTATTTACTGATTGATGTGCATCCATATTGACCAGTATGTCCAGCCAATCAACATTTTAAATGCAATAGTCAATATCAATAGATTGCTTTCCATCTTGCTTTATTGCAGGGTTGTAACTATTCTGATTTGGAGACTTGATAATCATTGTCTTGTTTTAAAGTGAGCGCCTAATGAGGAGTGCCATAACGCCCATATTGTACTGGTAACTGGTCCCCATAGATTTTTTTTTTTCTGGAAAGTGCGCGTTTCATTTCGTGCACGCGCATTTGAACTCATGTTAACGCGCGACGCGGTTATCTTTTCCGAGCTGCAGTTTATAAACAAAAACCGTTGCCCTTTGTATTATCAAACGTAATATCATGAAAGTGTGTATCTATAGCCTACCACGAATTTAATTTATCGTGCTATTTATACGCCAAAAATGTTTTTTGCGTGCATATGCTACGCACTGTAAATCTCTTGGGTAGGATTAGGGGTGTAGAGTGCGTGCATATTACACGCCAAAAAGTGCGTATCATATGCACGCAAAAACTATTTTTGGCGTATAAATGGCACGAGAAATTAAATTCGTGGTATAAATACGCGCTTTCATGAGATCGGGCTGGAGACAGACAGAGATGCACATCAACTTAACTTTACTGTTCTGTTCTGTGCTGACATCAAACTTGGAGAGGAGAGAACACAAGTTTACCTGATCGCTGTTCCTGCAATTCACTCACATGGTGTTTTTCTCTCAGTTTCTCTTTTCGTGACCAGAAGGATAGTTCGATGTTGTAAACTTTGATTGACGCGCTTTGACGCGAGGGGGAGGCGGGGCCTTGAGTAATTTGCGGGGCCCTACGCAGCTTGCGTAGTGTGCGTATAGGGAGGATCGGCTCTGGCTACACAGTTTGGAGCACAGTCTCTTCTGTCTCGCAAGCGCGCTCTTTCTCGCAAGGTTTGGCTGCATTTCACGTGTAAAATTACGTGTCAGAACGCCCTCTGGGTGTGCCGATAGTCTGAATCCCATATAGAATCAAGCCAATTCATTGGCTGATGGCGCGGGCGCCGCATCGACGCACTTACGTCGTCATATGTTGGCGCGCGCGCGCCATCTGCTCCTCAGATTTCTCTGCCGAAAAAGGAAGCTGGTCGGCAGCGCGAGGAGCTTGGCAGCGTCCCGTTCCCTATTGAGAGAACATAGGTTACACCAGTAACCAGAGATGTTCTCTTTCATAGGTTCACTCAAAGAAGCAGTGGATTTGTAGGCTGCTGTATCACGTGCCGTTTGAACTGACGCGCTACAGCGATCTGTCACATTTCAAAGAGCCAAAACGTTATTTATTGTGTGAATCTCGTAAAAATATTGACAGAATCTGACAGCTGTGGATTTGTTCCCTATCAAAAGTAACCTTCTCTGTCTTGTCTGTCCGTGTCCTCTTTGTCCGCGATTTTTCTGTGTGAAAAGGGTCAATTGCGTGAGTCTCACGGTCAATGCGTGAGAGTTGGCAGCTCTGCCTCTGCCTGCTAGTAATCTCTATTAATCTCCAGTATTATTACATTGTTTGATACAATATTGTTTCATTTGATATTATGTAAATATGAATTTTTATTTTATATTGGTTTTATTATTACCATATAGGGTTGCCACCTATGTCTGATAAAAAACCTGGACATATCGATGACCTGATCGACCGCTTTGCTCACAAGTCAAAATGTCCATTAGACATTAGACCCACAAGACAAAATTGGCCTTTGTGCAGTAAGATTGTGCATAGTCGTGACTCGTGAATATTTTAAACATCTCAAGTATTCTCACTTATCTTACTTAACTTATAGCTTACCTGATTGCTTAGATACTGGTGCTCGTGCTTGCTTTTGCTCCCTCTTTGCTAAAGAAATAAGTAGAGGGATGACATTAGATTTGCATTTACCATACCTTAGCCACATCTATAGCCACTTTTATTTAGTATGTCTCAATCAGACATTGGAATAACAAAATCATAAATAGATAGGCCTAAGCTTACCTAGTCTTCCATCTATACTTGGCGTTTCCCTTTGCTGCAGCTATCAGTGGTTTCTGTTCTTCAATGAATGTCTTGAATTCAGTGCATGACAATTTGAAATTCAATCTGACCTGAAGCTCAGACTTCACCATTGCAACTGACAGTCTGTTTCTTTTATCGGACCAAACATCCTCCATATGACTGAACACTCTTTCTGCATAGGCATTACTGACTGGTATGGAAAAAACAAAAGCAACTACTTTCAACAGCTCGGTGGATTCAGTTGCCTTGCTAAAAAAATAGGCCCACTTTCTGTCTGGGGTAAGGTCTGTTGGAATGGTGTGTAAGACCTCATTCAGAATGACTACATCACCATACAGCTTGTCTTCTTCAACATCCAGGGCCAGTTTTTCCACTAACACTTCCAACTCTGACCATTGGAGTGATTGTCCTTCATGAAGGCTGAGACAGCCAATGTGTGCAAGAACCTGGTCATTGAAGTCAAATTTATCCTCAAGATACAGCACTGCCTTCTCAAAAAATCTGTCCACCAGGCTCCTGAACTGTTCCTGTTGCTGGGGTAAAAGGCTCCTCAGTATTTGTTTTGCTTTACTGCCATAGAATTTGTCTGTGCGCCTTGCGATCAGCTGACTGTGCAATCTGTTCATCACAGAGTAAACGTCAATCACAGTAGCACTGTCACTCTCTAGCACCCTAATAGATGAATCAAATTCTTGCATCACATTGTGCATGAATGCAAGGATACATTCAGCCACAGTACAGTCTACATTTTCTGCATCACTTGCACCACACACAAATGTCCAGATGATACTTGGGCAGTCCTCCTTTCCCAGGGATACAAAATAAGACTTTAAAGCTGGCCAACACTCTAAAATCCTCTGTATCGCTGGCAGCAAAGACAGCCAGCGTGTGGGGACATGCCTCAGAATCTCCCTGTATTTTGTATTAGTAAATTCACAGAAGTCCTTAAGCAATTCCACTTTTTTAGCAGAACAACTGAATTCACTATACACCTTCAGCACAAAGGCCTCCACGTCACACCCTCCAGCACTAAAGACACGATTAGCTGCTTTTACAGTGTTGTTTATGATGTGACACTTGCAATTGCCCTTCACAATTTGTGGGTTAGCTTCTCTGAGTTTCTGAAAAACTGAGTTGTGCCGACCATAATTAACTGATGCGTTATCTGCACCATAGGCACTGATCTGGCTGACTGAAAGTCCATTGTTCTCAGTAATAGACGCTATTTGTTTGAATATGGCTTCACTAGATTCGTTGGAGTCGTCGTAAAAGTCTAACAATCCATACTTCACACCCTCGGATGCACAGAAATACTGGACTGTGTAGGGAAACAATTTTGTGTGCCCAGAATTGGATGCATCAGAACATACTGCAAAATAGTGCGCTTTCTGCAACTCTGCTGCTAATCTTTGCTGACTAAATGGTGCCAACACATTTTCTATTAAGGCCTCACTTTTAGTCCTGCCACAAGACATTTTAGTTGCAATATCAGAGTCACTGAATATTTTTGCACTGACCTTGTTCCCACAGTCAGTTGACAGGTAGCTATGGCCATGTCGCACACCGTGATAGGTAGCTGTTAATTCGGCGACAGTAATTTTGTCCTCTGAGTTTTTTGAAATCATGAATGATGAAATTGCCTTTGTTTTTCTGGTTACTTGAACGCGACTCTGATGTTTCTTCGTTTTAGCATGGTCATCCAAAGCAGTTTTGCCTTCATGTTTAACCAGAATTTTAACTGAGCATACGGAGCAAGTAGCATATAGTGGATCGCCTGGTGTTTGCTTTAGCCATGTGGAATAATTGTCATTTTTCATCCAGTCATTATTGAAGTATGTCGAACGTTTCATTTTCTTTTTTACTGGCCTGTCAGTCTTTGTTGACACACTGTCATCTTCGTCCTCCGTCTCGCCACCCATGTTAACACTACCAAATGATGTTGACGATGTACAATCTTCTTGACTTCTTCAATTTGCCGCCTGTAGTAACTGGCTAGCTGCCAAGACAGACGCGCTAGATGACGTAGTCTACGTCGCGTCACATGACACACCCGTCCCAGAGCCAATGATAGCGCATTCTACACACAAGAGACACCCTGAGAGTCACCGACCACTCTGTGCACAATGCATAGGCTATTTCAAGTGAGAAAATAGTAAGTTGAACATACATATTCACGTAGCCTTTCGAAAACCGGGACATTCAATGTCCCGGGAGAGTGGATAAATTTCCCGGGACAGGTTATTAAAAAGAAGGACAATCCCGGTAAAACCGGGACAGGTGGCAACCCTATTACCATATGTTACTTGTATTTATATTGTTTAAAGATTTAAGTTAATATTGTGTCCAGTTTGGCCCTGTAAATTAAAGGGTATTATTTTTTGATAAAGTGTGTGCGGTTTCATTTTCTTAAGTACCGATTTAAGAACCGTTTAAGCACCGGAACCGTTTAAAAAATACCGAGTAGGTACTGGAATCGGATAAAACCCAAACGATACCCAACCCTAAATATCAGTCATAAAAGCGTGAGTTTCTGCAGTCGGCCGTTTCCCTCTGTCATGAACGAGTGTGTGTGAATCATTCATGAGCGGATTCACAGACTGTCACTGGATCATCTCGCGCTCGCTCTACGGGCATCAGTGTATCTGAGCGTGAGCTCTCAGGTGACAGCACGTGTGTGTGTGTGTGTGTGTGTGTGTGTGTGTGTGTGTGTGTGTATACCTGCACCGCTGCTCTCAGGAAAGGCTCTCACGGCTCTTCTACTGTAGGGCAGGAGTGTGTGTGTGTGTGTGTGTGTGTGAGTGTGTGTGTACCTGCACCGCTGCTCTCAGGAAAGGCTCTCACGGCTCTTCTACTGTAGGGCAGGAGTGTGTGTGTGTGTGTGTGTGTGTGAGTGTGTGTGTACCTGCACCGCTGCTCTCAGGAAAGGCTCTCACGGCTCTTCTACTGTAGGGCAGGAGTGTGTGTGTGTGTGAGTGTGTGTGTGTGTGTGTGTACCTGCACCGCTGCTCTCAGGAAAGGCTCTCACGGCTCTGCTGCTGTAGGGCAGGAGTGTGTGTGTGTGTGAGTGTGTGTGTGTGTGTACCTGCACCGCTGCTCTCAGGAAAGGCTCTCACGGCTCTGCTGCTGTAAGGCAGGAGTGTGTGTGTGTGTGTGTGTGTGTGTGTGTGTACCTGCACCGCTGCTCTCAGGAAAGGCTCTCACGGCTCTGCTGCTGTAAGGCAGGAGTGTGTGTGTGTGTGTGTGTGTACCTGCACCGCTGCTCTCAGGAAAGGCTCTCACGGCTCTGCTGCTGTAGGGCAGGAGTGTGTGTGTGTGTGAGTGTGTGTACCTGCACCGCTGCTCTCAGGAAAGGCTCTCACGGCTCTGCTGCTGTAGGGCAGGAGTGTGTGTGTGTGTGTGTTGATGAAGGGACGTCTTGTGGGATATTCGGCATAAGAGGGCAGAGACAGGCTGTCAGACATCGCCAACACACACTCCTAAAGAGAAACACACACACACACAAGATCATACTGTAAAAACACATACAGTGCAAATAAATGATCATACTGTTTCAATAATCTGTTTTATTATTACTAGTTAATGTTCAATCAAACAATATGAGAGAGAAGGAAGTGAGCCTGAAAATGTGTGTTCATGGATAACAACTTTACCAAAACAAAATTATGAAAAACAGGAAGAAACACCAACAGAAAGTTCTGAGGGAGACAAAAGTTCATAATCATCAGCTGCTTTAGTGTAATATGATTTACAGGTAGTTTGATTTTAATATCATGATTCTATATATATATATATATGATGTTTAGTTACACATTATACTTGTATATTTCAATAGATGTCGTTATCTATATAAATGGTTATGCTAAAGTTACATGTTGAATGTGTGTGAAAGTTAAAGAAGCTGTAATGTTGTTTTTACCTTTTCTCGCCTCGCGCAGGGTTTCGAGTTCGTGTCCATTAAAATGCGAGTTTGATCTTAGATCATATTTAATTTATTACATTCAAGTTTTTTATGAGTTCTAGTTCAGTTTGTTGTGAATTTCTTAGTTGTGCAAACAGGAAACCAAACGCAAGCGCGCACAACAGAGGTTGTGAAGTCAGCGATGACAACATCCGGTCTGTAAATAAAAGTCATGAGACGTTCATAATAATATTTAAAGGTCATGTGCACTATTTCTGATTTTGAAAAACTGTGAAGATACCAGTCTATATAGTTTTAATTAGTTTAATCGTTTCTTTTTATAAAGTAACTTACGCTGTATAAAATATATTTTTATTAAAAATATATTCTATACAGCGTTAGTTACTGTACCGGAAGCGACTGTATTTTCACATATATCTGTTGTCTGTTTGAGCATCTCATTAAAAAGTACGAGTAAACTGTTCATATGATCTGTTTCGCATAAGTACATTTCAGAATACCAGGTAATATCGTAGAATTGAACTATGGCTTGCGTGCTGGTTAGCGACTGACTGGAAAAATAAATAAAAGTCCCAATATCTGCATTTAAATTCACCACGTAATGTAAATAGTGTGCAAGTTCAGTCTGTCCGTCATTTGTTTGTATAAATGATTAAAAGCACGAACTGTCAGTTGTTGCATATGATCTTGTTTAATTCCAAACATGGATTATGGAGAATTCAGCATTTTCCAGTTTTTCATTCAACCCAGATAGCACAAGTCTATTTGATGTTATATTTACATCTGGAAGACGTATTTTTAAGAGTGTTTGCTCATCTGCAAGACGTCTATAGGACCTCTCCTGTCAGATGTCAAATAGACGTTTAGAAGATGTCAGTTTAACATGCATTCTAAATCATTACATCTTAAAGACATCTTCTAAACGTCTATTTGACATCTGACAGGAAACGTCCTATAGACGTCTTGCAGATGAGCAAACACTCTTAAAAATACGTCTTCCAGATGTAAATATAACATCAAATAGACTTGTGCTATCTGGGAACAAAGTCTTATTTTGTGAGTGTGTGTGTGTGAGTGAGTGTGTGTGTGTGTGTGTGTGTAAGAGTTAGAGTGAGTGAGAGAGAGTGTGTGTGTGTGTGTGTGTGTGTGAGAGAGATAGTGTGTGTGTGTTTGTGTGTGTGAGTGAGTGTGTGTGTGAGAGTGAGAGAGTGTGTGTGTGTGTGTGAGAGAGAGAGAGTGTGTGTGTGTGTGAGTTAGAGAGTCAGTGTGTGTGTGTGTGTTTTAAACAGGAAACATGCTTTATTTGACCTGTACATTTTTCTAAACTTTCATATAATGCATCTGTACAAAGTTAATCTTTTTATCTTTCATGAGCAAAAACTTTATACAAAATTATAGTTCTATAATAATAATAATAATAATAATAACCCATGTTCACTTCTTTGCTGCAGTTGCATAAGTGCTCGTTTGGATTGGACAGATATCTGGGGTTATTTTGAAGTCCAGGCTTGATCTGGGAGAAATAAAAAGAACATCTTCCATCACAACCACATGAACGTCACATCAGGAACACGAGCTCTCGTTCAGATCTCACAAACAAGTCTGGAGCTATCCCAGAATGCACTCTGCTGTAAGTGGGAAGATGAAGTCTGGAGCTATCCCAGAATGCACTCTGCTGTAAGATGAGGGTCCGTGATGCATCTCACGAACATTGAAAATACCATTTGAGAAAATCAAACATCTTTTGCTCTTTGCCAACCAGTTTCTCCTTAAAAAACACGAAACTCCTCCGACAAAACACGTCATATCAAAACACCAGCATGCCTTTACGATACAGCGCCGTCTCTGTTCTCACACACACACACACACACACGCACACACACAACACAAGAACAGCCCGTACAAACATGACTCAAATAACACACTCCGCATCAGAATATAAAAATAAACATTTGAAAAGAAGGAGTTATGGCACATGAGGGTGATTTCCGGTGGAATGCTGTAAACATCGAACGGCGTCGTGATCGGATGATGATGTCGAGCAGCTCGGGGTCGCGAGGTCACGAGGGTCAAAGGTCACCAGACGGCACACTTGTTGACGGGGTTCATGGGTGATCCTCTGGGGCAGTGAAACACTCGGCCGAACTCCTCGAACTGCGACGCGCTGCCGATGACCCTACACACACACACACACACACACACACACACAGACACACAGACACACAGACACACACACACGTGTTTACTTCCAATAACTTTCCAGGGCCTTGAAAGATTTTATTTTCAGATTCACAAACGCTGAAGGATTGCAGGGAGCCGTGGGACCCTGGTGTTAATGAGGAACTGAGGAACCATTAACATCTCAGAATATGAAAATATACATGGAAACATATAAATGAAAGTACATAAATCTGCATTGTTTATCCTTTTGATTTTTCTTAAAAAAAAAT